TAAAAAACTATATAGTAATATATTTTATTTACTAATATTAAATTCCAGTTAGATATTAACTATATAAAAAACTTAAAAGTCTACTAATTTTATTAAGATTATAGGCTGAAATTATTATAAATTTTATTATAAAATTATCCGAACTATACTACCAGGATTATTAAATAAATTTAATATTAGTAATTGTTAATTATTTTATAAAAATAAACTATTTTATAGCAGTATTATATATAATTTAAATAAAAAAACTGGCTGAACTATTTTATTAAAAAATTAAACTAAAATATAAAGTTTTTTATAGTATAGTTATAAATAAAAGCTTTATATTTATAAGTTAATTTTAGTTTAATTTTTGCTATTAAATTAAAATTAAAAAATAGTTATTAACTATATTTTACCTGCAAACCGACAGTTAAATAAAAAGAATTAACTAAGTTCTTAAATATTATCTGTACTGCTTTATAATTAAGTATTAAAACTATTAAATAAATTTACTAAATAAAACAGAATTTATATATAATAGTTATCTAAATATTTTTATAAAAATAATTTTTTTTAAAGTTTTAATAAATTATTCTTTTAAGTTTAGACTTTAAATTAAGAACAACTCTATAAAAATAGAAGTACTATTAATATTAAAAAAACTAGAAAAACTAAATATTTTATAAAAAAAATTAAAAAGAAACTAGCGAAAGATAAGTAAAAATTAATTAATTTATTATAATAATTATTATAGTACTTTATCTTTTAAGCAAAATAATAAAATAATTTATATTTTTAAATAAGAAGATTTAATCAAGCTATCTACTATAAATATTTAATTTAAAAGAATCTTTTAAAAATTAGTCTTAAAATTTGTAGAGCTCTTCAGAATTCTAAAAACTATAAGAAAATAAATATTTTATTTATATTTTTTTTAATAAATATATTTAATTATATAATATTTTTTATATTATTCTGCTAGAATTTTAAAAAGTTAGAAAAAATATTTCCGAAACTTTACTAATACCAGATCTAAATAATAATAAAAAGTAGAAGATAGAGTAGATATTAAATAATTTATACTATTAAAAAAACTAATTCTATTTAATAAAATAACAGAAATAATTTTTTAAATATAATTAATAATTATCGGCAGAAAATTTAGTAAATATTTAGTAAAAAATCTATAAATTTAATAATTAAATTATAGTTTTTTATTTTATAATATATAAGTCGAGATTAATATACAGCAGAAATAATAATAAAATAATTATAAAATATATATAATATATATATAATTTATAATAAAAAAATATAAATTTATTATATTATATATCTATTTTATTTATATCTACGTATATAAACTATAAAAAGAATAATATTAAAAAAAACCCGGATTATATATGTTTAGCAGAACTATTAAAACTAAAAAATAATTAAATAAAAATTATCGATAGAGAATATTATTATATAAAAAATAAATATAAAATATTAATAAAATTATAAACCGCAAATAATATTAATAAAAAAGATATTTTTAGTATTAATAATATATTAGTTTTTATTATTATTTTTATTGATATAAAAATATATAATCTTATAAATTATATTATTTAGATAGAAAGCAGCTGTATAGTATTAAAGTAAATAGCTAGTATTATTAAATAAAAAATAGAAATATTTATATAAATTTTTAGTTTAAATAATAAGAGTATAATATTCTGTAATAAAATTATAATAAACAGCTAGATTTTTCTGTTAAAAAGTTAATATAATTTTTATAAATAGTTAATATTATTTATAACTATAGTTTTTTTAATAGCAGCTGCTATATTATGCTTGATATAATAGGCTTTTTTTATATTAAAAAATTAAATAGTAAGATTAGCAGCTAAAAAATTAAAAAAAATATAAAAAATAAAATTATATTTTTTTTCTATTTCCGCCGCCTAAAAGAAGCTTAATTAGTAAAGAATTAGTAATAGATTATTAATATTATTTAGTATTTTTAATACCGTCTGGTATATGTTTAGCTAGGGTTTAAAAATTTAAATAAAAAAAAATTTATAAAGATATAATTTATTTTTTAATTAGTATACTATTAATATTTTACTAATAAAATAATATTAAAAATATACCCAGGTTTAAACTTTTTACTAAAACTATACTTATAGTTTTTTATACTAATCTAAAAATATTTTAAATAAAAAAAAATATTAAAAAAAAATAAAATCTTAGTTAGAGAGCGATAATTTACTATAAAAAATATAATAGTATAGTAGAAAATATTATAACTATTAATTAATATTTTAGTAATATTAAGAAAATATAAAATATAGTTTACCGAATATATACTATAGAATAAACAAACTAAAATAAAAATAATAATAAAATATAAGTTTTTTAATATAAAACAAAAAATATTAACAAAGTTAACAGGTTGAGAAAGATATATAAAATTATATTTATATTATTATTATTATTATTAAAGAACTACAGTATTTTTAAACCGGAATAATATTATTTATAATATATATTTTAGATAGGATTAGTCTATAACTTTTTACTATTTATTATTATATTTTTAAAAATAATTAGCTTCTGTGCTGAAATAGTAGTATTATATTATTATTATACTGCTGAAAACAGTTGTATATTAAGAAAAAATTTAATTATTATAAATAATTTCTGGAATTATAGCAAATTACTAATAATTTATTTATATATTTTTTATATAACAGTTGTAACGTTAATAACTCCAATTTTTTTTAGTATTTAATTTTTAGAATCTTACTAGATCTTCGGATAGTAAGGATTAGTCTTAAAATCAATAGACTGCTACTATTCTATATCTAACTGACCTTTTCCCTTTATAAATTACTTTATATTTTTAGATATTTTTAGTATTATTAATATAATAGTAATACTACTAATTAAAGTAAACTTATAAAATTATATAATTAGTTTACTAAAAATCTTATTCAGCTAGAATAAAACTAATTTTAAAGTTTTAAAAATATTATAAATAGTTAATTTTTTAAAAATAAGAAAATATGCTTCTAAATATATATCTAAAAAATTAATCTTATTAATATAGTAAATATTTTAATAAATTAGCTGTTCTATTAAGCTTTTATATATTTTTTTAATAATATAAAATAAGTAATATTAAGTAATTAATAAAAATATAAAAAATATAAAAATATATAGATAAAAATAATATTATTTTAATTATATATATTATTAAATTCTATAGTTAAATAGAAATTATATTTATTAAAAATTAAAAAACTATATTATTCTGTCTATCAGTTTTTAGTAGAAGAAATAAAATATTTATAAAACTAATATAAACTAATATTATTAAAAGTCTAATTATTTAATAATAGATTAATATACTAATTAAAAAAAAGATTTTAGTATTATATTTTTATATAAACTTTTTTTTATAATAATAATACTATACTAACGGTGTTAATTTAACATTATTTATTTTTAATTTTCTAACTATATAAAAAATAGTTTATTTATATAGTTAGACTGTATAATTATACAGATTATAATTATTATTTTTATGATAAAACTAATTTTATTAAAATTTTAGATATTTTAATTAAAAATATTATATTTTTTACAGCTTTAATATAGTTAAATTATTTAGTTAAAAGCTTCGGATTTTTATATTTTGTATATTAAATATAATATTTTTAATAAAACTAAATCTTTAAAACCGGAATATATTTAATAAAATTATATATTTATTTTTTATTTATAGAGACTATAAAATTTAAGTTTTATTTTTAAAAAAAAATTATTATTATATTCTGTATGTATACCGGCCGAGAATAAAGCCTATATTTTATAAATAAAAAATCTAATTTTTTAAAATCTTTTTTTTAAAATCTTTTTTTAAAAAAAATTAATTTTATAAAATTAGTATATATATCTAAATATATTTTAACTTTTTTAAGATATTATTATAGAGTTAAATATAAAATATTAAAAATATTTACAGCTTTTTTAATAAGTAGAATTTTATTATTTTAAATAGTCTTAATAGTAAGATAGATACAGTTTTCTTATTTTATTAAAGAATTTAATAATTAAGATATATTTAGTAGAATTATTAGTAGTTAAATTACTTTAATTTTAAGAATATAAAGACGACGCGTGCGGGTGTCCACTTGCTTGCCGTGCCCACTCGTTTACCGATTATGTTAACTTAGTTAACTTAACTAACTAGGTAACTAACTATCTTAACACTAGCTAGTGAGGTTAAACTTAATTAGGTGTTATATCTTGTTGGGGGATGTACTCCGTAGGCAATGACAACCTTACCGCCTGCTCTCTTCGGCTGCTCTGCCGCCCTCCGCACAGACTCCCGCACCCCATCAAAACACTACAGACTGCGCGCTTATTATCTATACATACAGAATACTCCGTATATGTTCTCGTACTAGCAACTCTACCACTGACGTACTCAGTAAGGTCATATACGATTGTCAGTGAAGCCTTAATTAGTAGTTTCAAATCTGCCGGTTTCATCTCAAGCTGTAAGCATCATCAGATAATTTCTGTATAAGAAGCGGTGCGAGCTGAGAGAGAGGCGATAGATCGATGGCAGTGGCAAAAAACAACAATCGTAAAGAACCGAACCGAGTATATTTTCAAGTCCCGGTAGTAGCCATCAAAAGATCTATTCATACCGGTCGACTTCGTCCCTTAACATCCATCAACATCCATCAACAACAGGGGTGAGAAGACGTCCAAAAGTAACTTGTTTGCTTGATTGGCAATTGACTCACTCTACGCACTCTGCGCTATTAAACCCATACCGAGCAATAGATACTTCAATGGTCATGAAATTGATGGCTATCACCGCCCATTACGGGTGTCCGGCGGAAATTTTTACCAGACTAAATTCTAAGGAGATTAGCGATGCTCGTTAATATCTGATTTGTGATTGCCGCCTTGCCCCTATTTCACGTGGATAATGTTCAGCGCATAGTTCTCAGTGGGTGGGTGCATGGTTTCTAGCCTTCAAGTTCTTTATACCCTACCCTTACTTCACATAAGGTGCTGCACATTACCCAAGCGGAATCCGTCCAGCCGCCGTCGCCTCCACCACCACCATTACCACCACCATCACCACCATTACCACCACCACTATCACGCGCCTACTACCTTGCGCGGCTAGGAGTGCTACGTAAGGTTTCGTGGATCTCGTATACTGGTTTCGCCCACAGAGTCCTATCTTTTTAATCTTGTGCAAACATGTCAACTTGACGGCTGCTAAGACTGCAAATCCTATATGTTCAATATCAGCTCCAAGCATATCTCACCGTTTTGATTATAACCCTCCTGTCCCCCATCTCATTTCCATGCCACTTCATCATTGACCTACACGAGCAATCACAGGCTGGGCTAAAGGGTATTTTGTTTCTGCTATTGAAGCTGCGTATAGGAGCATCTGCCGATCGACTGATCCTCTCCCGCGCGGGATGACTCGCTTCCTTCAATTTCGTGTCAGCGCTGGAGTGCCCTGAGCCTGTCATCGAATCTTCAAAAACACCCGTTAATTCTCGCAGATGGTCTGTTACGCGGAACATGGCTGCTTTGACCCTCGAATTACGAAGTGGCGACGAGGAATCGATCGAGTGTTGGGATGACGATGAAGACCTGCAATGCTATGAGGGATTCCAGCTGCGCGCGGCATCAAGTGCGACCTCTGTGACAAACTCATCGGCCCATCATTCAGCGCATCGGGACTCCATATCTTCTCGTCGCTCTGCACGCTCTGATTTGGAATCAAACGGCGGTGGCGATGAGGACTGGCAAGTCCAGTTGCTGGACAATGATGAGGTGATCACTGAAGAGGCTATTGCCTCTGCCAAAAATGCCGGAATACCTCTGCCTATAAATGTCCCTAAATCAGCCCTTGTTGGTGGTACCATCAAACGCCTTGGGCGGAGGAAAACAAACACAAACACGGTCGACGATTGGGCCGATGACGTGGATTTTCCGGGTCCCGACGGAATACTGCAGTTGAGAGGGCCTTTGGATACGTCTTTTCCTGAGGCGCTACGACAAGTCAGCTCCGCTGCAGTGAGTCCTATCAAAACATCGGCGTTAGCTACATGGGATAATGACATCTCAACGCGACTACAACCGGCCTTGTCAATCCCGGCAATCCCCCGAATGGACGACGTTACGGACGACGCTCATGATGTCCCTACAATCAAAGTTGCGAGACCTCGTTCGCCGGGCAGGCCCTCGCTTTTCAATAATTTCATGCTTCATAAGGACTACTGTTCAGGGGACGATTTCGAGCAAGACTTTGAATTGCCAAACGGTGATCTACCGTTGCGACTTACTCCTCGCAAGGCCAGTGCAGGGCCTCTGAGCCCTTCTACGGAAGAAATCGAGTTAGATTGGTCCGAAGGCAGTATTGGGGTCCGGTTTGGTGGGATCACTAGCGAGCATCGATCGAACCCGTCAATTATGTCTGTTGTGAGCCCGAGCGCTTCTAGCTGTCTCACGGCTGAAAGTGAAGACGACGGCCTCGATGGTCTCGTTATTCCTGAAGAGCCTTTAGACTTAGAATCTTATTTCAAAAAACGGGGAGGGCCTGTAGATCAGGACCTGGCTTGCGCAAAGCCTCCTTGTGTCAGTCAAGCTTCAAACAAGAGTGACGATTTTTTTTCCGGACTTGAGATTGAGGACCGACTATTTGATCCTCAAAGGCTTTCGATAAACCCGAATATCAAGTGCAAACCCGAAAACTCTCGAAGTCCTGTGCGACACTCCACCACGACTCTCACGTTCACTAACATGACAACACCTCCTAAATCTCGGATTCCGCGTCTATCCGGTCCCGATCGCCCACACTCGACACATTTAGAGACTGTCTCCGAGAGTGGTGCGCCTCTTTCACAGTTCAGAGAATTACAGACCCTAGTTGGGAACCATTCAGCACAATATTCTGTGTCCAGCCTCCCTTCTGTTCAGCAATCTTCGACGTCTCATCGACGGCACACAAGTCGAATGAACAAGGAACCTTTTGCAAGCGACGGTGTCCCTTTCGGCAGGTATCTGGCCTCGAAGCGTTCAATGCCAACAATGCGTGATGCACAGCACAGCGCCACGTCGCCCTTGGGTCAATGTCTTTCCACCTACTCGGATGTCTCAAGTTCATTGTCCAAATCTATGCACCGTCCTAAAACCCCAGTGGATCGCTTGGGGCACGACGTGAAACAGCTCATGCGAAAAGCACAAGTGCCATTCATCCCTGCTGGAGCGTCAGAAAAGCAGTCGCACCATGCAAGCCTTAAAAACCACCGTCAAAATCGTCGAAATAATCTTGACAGTTCGAACGATTCCTTCTTTACAAGCTACGCCGCTCGATCCTCGCGAAATCGTCACGACATGTTTAGTGGGAGTCATTCTGAATCTAGTCCAGAGGCCTTGACCACTGTTACTAAACGGACACTCACTCGGCCAACTCGACGGCGGAATTTTGGAGATGGATCGGAATTGGCTCTGTTCGATGATTTGCCTACATCTACCTCTGCGGAAAGTAAATTTGTGAAACATCCCTCCGGACGGGGTGTCCCACGATCATTCAGAAATAAGCTGGGTCGCAACCCGACTGTTTCTCCCAAAGCAGAAGCAATCTCCCGGTCAACCTTCAGTAACTTGGGCGTATCTGTCAACTTCGATAATACCCCCAGATTTGCACGAGACACTAATGCATCAAGAAATGCGAGGGAACAGCGCATAGCCTCTTTGTCATCTAATTCCAGACTTCGCGAGAGCCATCCACTTCCTCCTCTTGGCTCGAACGCAAGAACCTCCAATATCTCCCGGATGCCTTCCAGCTCGGTTGCTAGCAGAGGCAAGAAGGGTAAAGCTACTGCGCTACATGTTTCTAGGCCACATCTAATTAAGCCACTGGGCACCGGTGTACAGGAGGCCAAGTGTAAGTCAGGCTTTCCCGCGCGGCAAGTGAGAAAACCGTCGCTAATGATTTTACACTCCAGCGATTAATGGTATGCGATACAATCCGAAATCCTTCTCTTGGGAGGGGAATGAGAGCTCTGTTCGTGCCTTTGAGACAAGTGCACCAAAATCTCCAAAGCCAACACCCGCTCTCATCACAAATATCGGAGCCATGCAGAATGTGCAGGTTGTTGGCGGGATGGTATTTGACCCGCGACGTATGTGCTGGCTGAAACTGGCGCTGTCGCAGCCTGGGCAGGATGGATTGGTAGCTGTTCAGGACGAAGATGATGTCTTTGCTGGTCTCGATGACTTGAAAGAAAGCTCTGGCATGGTAGGTGGGCGATCATCAACTAATCATGAGGACCTTTGCCTTGCAGCAAGCGGAGACGACCGAAGCTACGGCGACTCCTCAGACGAATGGCCCATGACAGAGGAGTTTGATGTTGGGCCCGAGTTCATCAGGAGACAGCGCGCTGAGGAGGAGAAATGGAGGCGCAAGGTGGAAAAATGGACGAGTCTTGATTGTGCAAAGCTCGGAGATGGCTGGAGATGGGCTATCCGAGATCTGGTACGCTTTAACGGCACTGTCAATACCCCGGACGTTCACCATATATGAGAGGCTATTTCCGCGGTTGCGGCCAAGGGTAGGCCGGTAGATCGAGATACCACATCTGCAGCGGTGCGACTCAATTCTGCTGCCACGTGATTGAAATCTGTGTCCACAGCGTGCCCGTCGCATAAGGCCCTATAATGCCATATTCATGCTCATTTATACGACGTTATGAAGAAAATGTGTAATGTTTTGTCCTTGATAGATTGACGAATACTGTACTTACATTCACCTAGCTAAGCAGACATCCATCATCCATACAAAGTCTGATGAATCCGAGACATTCCGCACTCATGAGGGTATGCGGAACTTTAGGTACCGGCTGGATAAAGCAAATCTTCATAATCTCAGTTGGTCATACAATGTTACGTCAGGTGGGATATATCAGCATGGGGCTTTCGGTGGTTAGGGAATACCGTACGTCATGTTGCGATGGTTGATCTATAAACATACGTTTTTGAGTGGCTTATCTGGATTCTACCCAAATTTTTAAAATCGTAATGAAGACCTGGATCTTACTCCGGGGGATTTGGGGGGGAGGGAGGCCGCAGCCCGGGGCCCCATGGCTAGGTCATATTGCTTTCTAAGGAGTAGGTAGGTACGCCCTTGCAGCAACCTTTCTCAATGTCCTGTGAGCCAAAGCACCACTCCATAATCTTGTTCTACTTCAACTTCATTGTTCTGTCTCTTAATACGATGGTTATGGTCACTCCGTAAGCATTAGGCACGCCCGGGTGGCGTGCGGTTCCTAGTGCGGTGGATAATTGCTCTTGTTGATGAATGCAACTGCTATCGATGATTATGTATGTACTGTACACTCTAGGATGTTTGCCTATATGCGACAAGGCTCTGAACCGAGGAGCAGAGTTAACATGTCCCGTGCCAATAAGCCGGGCTGCCTGTTGTCCAACGCAGGTAAGACGTAAGTTAATTAATGGCTCGACCGCCCTGTAAAACTACCGGCTCATCTCAGATGGGTTACTTAACACTGATAACTAACGTAATCGGTAAGCGAGTGGGCTTCCTGTGTATTACATATAAAAGAGCATATTTTTAAACTTCTATATCTTAACAACCACTATTTTAAATAGTTAGATATTATATATAAAGAAAACATAGTATTATCAATCTATAGTCAAGATCTTATCAGATTTAATTAGCTATTAGCTATTTAATACTAGTTTTTCTACAATACTTTAAAAATACAGTATAATTTATATTATCTTTGTAAATAAAACTTTAAAATAGATAAAATATAAGTATTTATATAAAATAGCTGTATAGAAGACTAATTTATTACTTTTATTAAGTTTATATTAACGTTGGTGGAATTATAAGTATTTAAAATATGCTCTTTCTTTTATATGTAATATACAGAAAGCCCACTCGCTTGCCCGGCCCACTCGCTTACCGATTACGTTACAGTACACAGATCTACTCCTGCTGCTTGAGTAATCGTATGTATTATACTTGTGCAGCGAGATATGATATGCTACGCTGTAGTTATACACTTTTCACCAAACACCTTATGCCTTCGCCCTGATTGCGGCCAACACTTTGACTGCCTCTCCGATAGCTGCATGGGTTTGTTTGCCAGGTTCAAGAGGTATATAATCCACCATTGATCGCCCTGCCGTGCACTCCCTCGTATCAGCTGCCCTTCTCTGATCTTTCCACTATGGAAAGGCGTGATAGCACATAAAATACAAACCAAGGTGTACTGTATATTACTGTGCCTGCTTAAGTAGCCGTACACCCCGATCACGGATAGAAGTAAAGAATTATTAGAGGTTGCTGTGGTCAACAGAGTACGGTGACGAATGCTAGATCACATCACAGCCACGATTACTCATTGCATAGTGATAATGATAGCGTAGATTATTATAGGTGTAAGCAGTTATGCTGTAAACGTACCTACAATTAGAGGGCATCGCTCGATTTGTTATCCACGATGGCTATGCCTCCCTCAGTCCTGAGGAGACAAACATAACTCTCCTCGGTAGCATGGAAGATGGACGACACTTGTGGCGTGGCGGCTCGATCTGAGGGCTATTGGCTACGAACTGCCAGCAAGCCCCAATAGCACAGGGCTTTGCATGTACAACAAGTCAGCTCCTCATCATAACCTGGATCATACACTGTCTGATGCAGTACCCTGAATCCCAAATTAAGTAGCAAAACTCTGCCCCTGGGGCTAGGGACAACAGGTAGACGGTGGGAGACCAGATTAGTGAGGAAGGTCAGGGAGAAGAGCAGAAGAATTATGAGGGATAAGGCGGGAGAACAAAATAAGGCGGAACCCTGTTCATGGGTCCAGTCGTCCAGTCCTATAGTCACCCTGAGGTTCGATGCAGTAGCCCGGCTACCTGCATGAAAAGAATCGTCTCATCTCGCTCTCGGCCATCGCGGCTCGTGGCTCTTAACTGTGGCTATTTGGAAATCGACTAGTTCATCTGGGAGCTTCTGATGGCCTAAAATACCCAAAGCCGCTTGCTTTTGCGCTGCCGTGAGCAAGAACTCTCATAGATTCCTACAATACATTTTCAAGTCGGTTGTAGCATACAGCTGAAGTACTACAGGAGCCTCCTGGTGGCAGGGGCTGGGACGTTGGCATTGGAGTTCGAAGAACACGTAACGCGAGAAGCTTTTGTCCAGCGTAACGCGGCAAAGCCCTTTCGGGTGAATCAGGCACCACTTCCCAGTTGGGGACGTATTTCCTCTGTTACCTCTCGATCCAAGCTACCAACCGCCCGGCATGATCTCTGATCACTTCGGCATCATGTACTTGAGGCGCCAGGGATAGCATAGGGAAGCAACCTGTAAAAGTCGAGTTAACTATGGAGTACGATATATCCCGGAGCCTAGATGGAAACATTACGCATCCTATTTGCTCGGGCAGTACAAGGTTATCAACATGGTACTCTGCGTCTGCCCGACGCTGAGCATAGAAAGCGGAAATACAACTGACCCTGCAAGGAATAAACCCTAGGATATTGGATACTCGACTACTTCGTACTCCTTTTTCATTCGGGGGTGATACCTTCTCGGATTTTGCTATTGGAGATAGAGTCACTAACTGTCAGATACACTCCCTCCTGCCTTGGTTAACCTCGGGCGTGATTTCAGACCTCGTACTGGCAAAGTAAGGGAGGAAGAAGGACTGACTAGGATGAGAGAATTCTCGCCCGACAGCTTGCAACATTTGGCATTGGATGAGAAAAGAAAAAAAAAATAGGAAGGAAGAGAAAGAAAGCGAGACAGAAAGGAAGAAAGCGAGTGACTATAGCAACAAACATCGATATCATGAATTGCAGCAGGTTGCGCAGTACGGTAGGCATCGCGTGCCGAGTACCGCGGTATAAACCCCTAAGTTAGGTCTCTTACACAGCTACTAGCTACCTGGCATTTCAACCTACTCACGATCTCAGGGCCGGTTAATCAAAGGTAGCAAGCAGTCATGGCTAGGCAAGTAGGTAGGTGTCTTTCTATCCTGGTCCCCAACTTCTATACTCAACAACTTTCTGTGACCTCAATCCCCCCCTCCCCTGCTGGTTACCTATGCATTACCCTGGTTCTGCCCATGTCATGTCCATCTTAATCCTTCATGTAATTCGACTTCCATGCTTGAACCCTGTGAGTACCACAGATCTCTCTGACTATCAAGAGTCTTACTGCATGTCTTCGCCGCATTCGGTCCTTGAGCTAGGAGCTGATGCCCTACAGGTCGTCTTCTGATTTCCCGAATAGTCTCCCTGACTACTATTGCCTCCTGTTGTGCACTTCGTTCTTGTTCACTGGTTATGCTTCTCTGTCGGTAACGGTGTCCATGGCCACCAGGAGCACTTCATGCGATCAAGAATAAGCAAATGTCTCTCTCTCTGATGCCTAGGGTCATACCGGAGAGAGGGTGTACCTGCACACCCGGGTAAGTTGGTGGTGGTCTTGATTACACCCCTGCCTAATAATTCATCTTGTTTGGATACATATCGCACTTTCGAAGTTTGTAACCGAGTTGCACTGGGAAGCTATTGTATCGAAAATCACTTCAACAGCCCCCAATCGATTCCATGCTTTCCTTCAAACTATTTAATGGCGCTGGGTTCCCATCCTGGATTGATGCTCAAGCTTTGTCCTTGGTTTCGTGCAAGCTAAAATAAGACTCTTTGAGGATTGCAGTACCAGTACTGGTGTCGTGCCCCCAGCCTTTTTCAGTGCCTGTGTTCTGCGAAGAGCTTTCCTTGCCTCGTCGCTCCAACCTCCACCCCCCCCCCCCTTTTGCGCATTTATTGTAGGCCCACGCTCGTCAAGACAATTTCCCTTTGTTGGTGTCACCCAACTTGCTGTCTCGGCTCGGACTAGCTTTCTTTGGTGCTCCAACTTGCTTGCGGCAAGCTTCAGACCAGCATGAACGGCTATACAAGACGCAATGAGAATCACGATGGTTACAATTTCACCCACCAAACGGCCCTACCTCTTCCGTACAGCCATAACGACAACAATGACTTCAGTGTAAATGAGCCAGGGGCATTCAGTTTCAGCCAACCACCTTTTCATCCTTTTACACCACAATTTACTTCACCATACAGTCATCCCAGCCTATCCACAAGCACGCATCATTTTTCCTCGAGCAACCATTCCCCAGCGCATTCCATTCCTTCAACGCCCGACCATGTGCCCCTGCAGCAGCATCCTACGCAGTATCTCTCCCACTCGCGCTATATTCAGTCGCCCGGCTATTTTACCCTGCGCGAAGCGCTCGGTGATGCGGACATCGAGGCCCAGGAGTCCAGCAATGAGCACACCATGCTTTCAGAACCAGTTGTACCACCACTAGAAGGCTTTCCAAATGTGAGGGAGTTTGACCAATTAATGAAAAGGTGTGGTTTTCACTATTTTCCCGAGACGTCTAATACCATACATAGTTATACTCATTAAGACGGTTACTAGTTACGTCGACGACTTATCTGTCAAGAAGCAAGATAAGGCATTGATCCATGCTAAAAGAGCGCGAAATATCAAGACCGTGCTGTTAGACCCTAAAGATACAGCTATAGAATCAGCTCAATTTCGGTATGACCAGATTCTGCCCTCCCGTATAGATGAAGGTTACTGCAGCGCTGTACCCTCATCGTATGTCATATCGCCCATCTTAGCATCTGCTGATGTTGTACTTCATTAGATTTTGGGTAAAAAAGATGTTCAAGCTTCAAGCTGTTGGTCCTGGAGTATCAGATGTCAGTATTCATGTTCAATTCACAGGTATCCCAAATTGCTTACCCAGACATGCCAGCACAGTATACAAGGTTGATTTGCCACGAAGGGAAACCAGTGGCCATTCGAGAGAAGCTCTTCAAGATTCTAACAAGAGCACATCAACAATGTCAACATGGAGGAAGGGACAAGACCTCAGCTCAAGTCCGACAGATCTATTCGTGGTGAGTAATATGTATCGTGCAATGTAGAGCCTGCAACGTCGTCCTTGCGTTCTCCACTCATGTGCATTGCTATCCATACTCTTTATGCATTAGTACGCAGTCTGACTTTGAGGAATATACGTCATATTCTCGAAGGGTTCCGAAAGAACTCATCTCACGCTTTGTCAAGATATGTCCTACTTGCCAAGTGCGTCGCGGCGGCTCCCGATTGACGCCTCCTAGTTCAAGAAGGAGCTCTCCACGACTAGAGACAGTGTCGCGCTCGCCAGCACTCCCATCGCCACCAATTTCTAGGCGCGACTCCAACTTGAACGCTCAATTGTCGTTGGACAGATCCCAGGCTGATTTGTTTAGTCAATTCACTACTAGTCATGGCAATCATGGTCATTGGATAGACAACCAAAGTGACCTACAAGAGAGGCAGCCGTTGTCTTCCACTAATATACGCTCATACGGAGGTGGAGCGATGAGCCACCTTTCGGGATCTGTCCCGGGAGTTCTAGAGCCATTCCAAAGTGACTTGTCGGTCTCACAACCTCAAATAGGTTATGGCACAAGCTATGCTCCAGCACATGGATCATCTGGTCAAAGAAGCTATTGAGATCCACTGGATCTCCAAGGAGATCTAGTTTACCTGGCATCTCGGCACAGCTAACGATTAAAACACTGCCAAGGATTGGCACGCCGAGCGAAAATGCTCTAGTCTGTTTTCAAATATCTATATCCAGTTCGTCCAATTTCCTGCTTTGAATTGAGTTTATGACATGAAGTATGTGTTGGATTATACTCGTTTGTGGATTGAGTAGAGGATCTTGTTGTAATGATTTTCATAACAGTGCCATCCTCTGAGAATAGAAGTCTAGAATTTTCCAACTACAGTACAGATTGACCACCAAGATTAGGCAATGACAAATACATATTCCATGATAAATCGGGAGATAGACGATGCGGAAAAGCACAATCGAGATGAAAGGGAAAGACAGCGTCAAACATTGCCCTGCTGATAGATGATGTGTTTCTTTGTAAGAGTAAAGTCAAATGAAACTCCGCAAATCGAGCAGCCCTATGTTGTTTGTGGGTCAAAGCATACCACGCTAGAACCTAGTCTAGACCGGGAGTGAGAACTTTTTACCCTTCATCACCCTAGCACAGTAGTCAGTACTCTTAAGAGCCAGCTCGAGAAGCTGGGACAACTCACTTGGTATAGTAAATATAGAAGAAATCAGAATACAGTAGTGTTTGTACGATGCCAGCAATGACTGGAATGATGTGAAAGTGACGTTCAGCATAATACCGGTAGATCCAATTGGGGATGTAAAGAGCGCGGTAGAGGCCTAGCGCAAAAAGGTAGTGTGTCGTTATGGTATCTGCCTCTCCGGTGCGCTGGAGCATGAAAAGCTGCGGAAGAATGGCGACGGATTCCAACCATATGGAAAACGTCCAAAGGATCTGCACGAACGTCTGAGCGGACGATTCAGATACTGGGCTCGGAGACTGACCTCGGAGATAGTGTAGTCGTGGGGGAACAACAAAGCCAAAAGGGCACTGAAGCAGAGAAGATATTGCACCTTGAAGGTATCGAGGTTCGGATCATGCGTGGGCTTGTACTCGGTGAGCATAAGATAAATGATATAAGCTGAAGAGCCTATGAACAAGATTTTGAAAGTTGTATTGTAGAGGGAGTCGGTAAAGGCCCAAAACAAGTCTTCGGTCAAAGCACAAGATTAGAGCAGATTGTTTGCATGTTGGCAGCACGACTCACCAAGATATCGCGTGATGAAAACCATTAGGTATAGAACCTGAGATTTAAATGATAGCCCCGAGCAGCTCTATTATCGCGATCAATTACCCGGTTGGGGGGCCATGCATGCTGCTGACTTACACTCGATGACTTCATCTTCTGCAGAAGAATGAAAATAGATGCGAGATGAGAGAAATCGGCTAGGTCAAACAGGATTAAAATTGGAGTATGCTCCTGGAGGACCCGGTTGATACTTACCTGACAACCTGAAGATGTTCATGGTGAAAGATAGGTATGGAGTTCAATCCAGCCAAACGAAGGATTGGTTAGAACAGATTTATCTGAGGAAGACACAGGTTTAAAATTGCCAGGTAACCATGAAGTGTGGACAGAAAGCTTGGGCAAAATGACTTAAGAATCTCTGTCTCACTTCGTATGGCGGTTGACTTAATGTTGACACGAAAGCAGCAAGCTCCGCGCGACATGGAAGGGAGGAAGGTGTGCCCCACACTTCCTGATACAGAGTCTAGTTGGCACTTACCAGATTACAGATATGCCGACCTTGTTATTCTAATTGCATGGTACAAATTGAATCATTCACCGCCCAGGATTATCATGTGATTCCCAAGCTATTTTATTATTTGCATAAAACATAGATTATGTTCTACAGCATCTTTATAAGTTGTTAGGTATTTGCTGCTTAATAGGTAGTTAAACTGAGGAGAGCGTGAAGAGAGATGGATTCCAGCTATCTAAGCACCTATCAAAACCGCCGGCCAAAAATAATGAACTGTGGCGTATTTTGTGGTTGTCGATTCTCCTGTGTTCGGCGGCCCGCCTCTTATACTGTCTTCGGGTATCTTTCGGTCTTTTTGACTTTTCGAGTTCTTGTTTTTTTAATTAACTATACTTTGTATATACTTATATTTATATTTATTATAGACTGTTATAATTAATAGTATATACTTATTGTAACAGTTTAAAGTATTATTTCTGCAGATTAACTGTTATATTATTTTTATAAATATTTATTTATTGTAATTAATAGTATCTTTATTTTTTTTATTCAGTTACTAAATATTACTATATTTTTTTATCTTGTATATTTTAAATCTATTAAAAATCCTGTTATTTATATCTGCTTCCGCTTATATAAATTATTTATTTTAGTAAAATTCTTACTTTTTATTTTAATTTATTTATTTATTTTATATATATATTTATTTTTTATTTTTACTAAATTTATTTTCTATTCTGTTTTTAGTATTTATTGTATTTTACTATTTCTATATTTATTATATATTTAATAATTTTTTAAGTTTTTATATCTTCTTGTTTCTTTTACATTATAGTCGAATTTATTTATTAGTAAGAATATATTAGAATATTTATTTTGTTATAGTACAGATCTAATATATCTATTCTTGTAGCATATATCAACCTTCTTAATTATTCTGCCTTCTGTTCTATGACCGTCTTTGTTACCGCCTCCGGCAGCAGAACTTTAATTAGCTAAATCTTTGGTTTTTTATTCTTAGTAATAATCTATTTATTTATAAAATTGTCTATTCTGCTATATATAATAGTATATCCGGTTATCTAGAATATTATATTATACATTTCTAAGATTCTTACTGGTTTAATTATTATATTTTGAATTTTCTATTATTATAGTGCAGACCTAGAGTACCTGCCTAATCTACTTTATTTTTTCTATTTGTTATATCTACTTTATCTATTTAATCTATTTTATTTTTTTTATTTTAGTAATCTTATTTTTCTTTCTAACTATTTTTTATATAATATACTAAATTTTTTAAATCTTCTGTTTATTTCTGATTTTATTTATAATTCTTTAAATTATATTTTATATATAAAGCTAAAAATAATCTAATCTAATAGCTAATAAGAATTTAAAAAACTAATTATAAAAATTTATTTAATTAAAACTATTATTTTTATTATTTAATTAATCTAAAAATCAGATACTAGTCTGATTCTTAATATTATATAATTTTTATTTTTAGAAATAGTAGTTTTAATAAAATATTAATAATTTTATAATCTCCAGCTATATTAAATAATCTAGAAACATTTATCTAATATATTAATAAATATTTCAAAAAATAGTATAAATATTATAATTAGATTTATATATATGTTATAAAGATTTAGAACCAGCTTTTCTAAAAAAATTATTTATATTTTAATCTAATCAGACCTAATAGAAGAAGATTAAAATAATCTAACTATTATTAAAAGCTGTTATTATTTATAAGATTATTATAAAAAAAATTAAATATAAAATATATATACTAAAATTATTTAGATTATTATTTTTATAGTAAATATTTTTATATATATTTTAAACTCTATATTTATTATTAAAAATCTCGCAGCTGTTTTAGTAAAAATAATTGTATTAATTAATTCTAAATCTTTAATTTTTATTTTTATTTTTAAATATTTATCTTATTTTAATAATTTTAAAAATAACTGCTTTAATTTCTACCAATTTATTTTTTAAATTAAAAGAAAACAAATATAAATACTAATTAATATATTATCACTATTATCTAAAAGTTATATATAACCAGCTGCTTGAATAGAATATTATATATCAAAATAAAATCTTATATTAAAAATAGAAAATATAATCTAAATAATTTTACTAAGATTTTATATTTATTTAAATATTTCTTAATAATTTTAATTATACTAGAACAATATATAACAAACTATATTAATTAAAATAAAGATTCCGTGATTTTATAATATTTTTTATTAAATTTAGATATTTAGTCTAAAAAGTATATATATATCTTAATATTTCTTTTATACTTAAGAATTATATTAAGATATTAAGAATATATTCGTAACTAATATTTTGTTACAAAAATTATTATAATTTAGTCAAATCTTTTTAATTTTAAACAACTTGTGACTACTATCTCCAGTATTCGGTATATTAAGGCCTTCATACCTTTCTATATTATTATCTACGGTATTAATATTTATAATTTATTATAAATAATATATTTAGCCTCCCGGCCTTCTAGGCTTTTTATGAAATAAATAATTTTTTTATCTATTTACTTTTTACTTGCAGTAATTATTTATAGTTAATAATATATTTTATAGTATATATACTTAACTATTTTATTCTATAGTATATCTGAGAATTATATTTTTTTATTTTTTAATATTATAATTTATATATCTATCTACTTTGTAATATATAATAATATATTAAATTATATTATTTTTAGGTTTTATTTAAAAATCCGGTTATTTATTCTTTTTATATTTTAATTATTTATTTATAAATATTTAATAATCGACTTTAGTATCTTTTATTTTAGTATCTACTATAAGACTTTTTTCTTAAAAAATTAATTCTAAATAATTTTATCTGATTTTTGATATTTTAATTATATATAGTTTTTTTATTTATTTTTATTATCTTAACTATATCGGAACTTTTATTTCTTATAAGAATATTGAAAGATTATTATTTCTATATTTTTTAAATCTTATTTTTATTATTTTTAAAATCTTTTTATTTTATAAATAACAGCTGTTCGGTTGATTGTTCTATATATTATTAAAGTATTAAGAAGAATAGTCTTATTTTATTAATTATATTAAATCGTTTTTATTATTTATAAATGGTTTTTTTAGTTCTTTAAAAATATTTGAAATAAATATTAAACTAAATAAATTAATAACTATAAAAATATCTCTATCTATTTTTATAAATATATAAAGATATTTTATAAAATTAATCTACTAGCTATAAAATTTTGGATTTTATATCTAATATAAGTTTATATTTAATATAAGTTTATATACTAGTTTAATAATAATATTTCTAATATATTAAATATATATAGTTATATACTATAAATTCTTTTTAAAATTATAAATTCTAGTAGTCTTTAGATTAGTTTATAAACTATTCATTTTTAAATAAAACTATTTTTAAATTTTTTTATTTTATATTTTATATATCGGACCTGCCGAGCTTTTATATATAATAAAATAAATATAAACTAAATATTTAATATAAGTATTAAAATTTTAAATCTATTAGATTATATATAAGCTTATGTTTTATTAATTATAGTAAGTATTATAGTATCTATTTTTAATTTTAATAGACTATTTATTTAAAAATATCAGGCTACTTTAATTTATCTAATTTTATATATATATTTTATATGATATCTGTAATAATTATATATTATTATTAAAATAAAATTAAAATAATAAATATAAAATAAATTATTTTAATAAAAAACTATCTAATAATCTGTTATACAATACCTACTACTACAGCAGTCTATATGAATATATATTATTAAATTTATATTAAATTAAAAAATAAATAAAAAACTGTCTTTTAAATCTATTATAAATATTTTATATATTTAATTATATTTTTTAGATTAACTAATACTCTGGTTATATTTTAAAATTATATTTATTTAATTCTCTATAAAATATTAAATATTTTTTATATTATTTATTTAGATAATATTCTTATTTTTCAAAGAATTATTCTTCTTATATTCTTTATTTATATTAAATATCAGAATACTTACAAAAAGCAGATTTTTATATTAAGTTATTAAAATATATTTTCTACTAAGATTATATTAAATTTCTAAATATATTATATTTTTATATAATATATTAATAGATTTTTAACAGATATCTAATATTCTTATATAATTAATACTAACTATATACTATAAAATCTAAGTATTCTTAGAATTCTATAATTTTTATTAATATTTTATTAAGAATTATTTTTTGATTATATTATTATTAACTTTTTTTTTAAAAGCACCCAGAATAGAAATAAGTCTAGAAGAATAATATTAACTAATAAAAAAATAATAATATTCCGACAGTTTTTTTATATTTTAAAACTATATTTTTATTAAAATGTTTTGATTTTTAACAGAAAATTCGGGTAGAAATAAATATTTTTTAATAAATATAATAAAGATATAATTTTAGCCGGATAATTATAAAATATACTATTCTATTATATTTTAATTAAAGAAGTATTATTAAAACTTATTATTTAATCCCAGATTAAAAGTTTTTTACTATTATTTATTTATTTAAATATTAGTATTAATATCTTAAAAACCTATTATATACTATTAAAATTCTTTTAGATTATTAAAATTTTTAGATTTTTATAAAATAACTAAAGCTAAACAGCCGTCAGATTTAATAATATATATATTTTAATAATTATAATTTTATTATTTAGTATTAGCTTAGTAGATATAATTCTATTAATTTATTATTAAAAATAAGAAAAA